CACCTATATCAATTTATTCGTTGCTCCTTGCTCTGCGCTCCACGTGAGCTCATATGCGTTAACAGCGTTATAAACAGCATACCTGAAGAAGCTGCATCGATATGTGCAATTCGAACAAAAAAGCACATTTAACATGTCACGGTCTAAGCCCGGAAAGCGTTGCCGAAGCTTTTTCAATCTGCTTATTTGGCATATTTTTAACGTTTCTTATTACCATGCACACCGTTAAGTTCGCCGCTCTTCTGTAGAAACAATCTCATACACCAAAAAAGGCCTTGCAACGTTACCTATGTGCCTCTTCATCAAGTTGTGCCTTACACCGTGAAATGGTCGTACTAACTTGTAAGAAGCGAGAACACATCTTGCCCTGAACAGTCCGCATAAAGTTTATAGATGGGATTCACACGCCGGAAAAAAGGGATGGAAGAAGAATTGGAATGGCGCAGGACCGCTTAACTTATACGCACATTTATATGCGTTTGAATCTTTTACGAGAGTGGTTGTCTGGAGCTGGCTAAGCTGATGACATGCGTACTGGTATCAAGATATTCGTGGGCTGATATGCATAATCTGATCAATGGAATTATAAGCTCCCGACAGTGGTTGGCATCACCGAGCTCAGAACACCGTTAGCTGCGCTTGCCTGCGCTCGAATGCATACGGTTCGACATTCCACATTATACAAGAGGGGGGGAGGGGGTGAAGCCCAATAAAACGTGAAGCAAAATTGGCCAAGTCTACACCCTAATCCAAGCAAAACAAATGGCGATATCTCCTTAAGTGACTGCGAGACCGGAAGGGTCGATTTGCGTAATTACTCGAGGTATTACAGGAAAGACTTCCTCCTGATCTTTCTCAAACTTGCAAGTATACGAAAAGAATACAAGCTTATCATACGTCGAGAGGTATCTTGTTTCGGATTACTTGTCGCAAGAACAAGTCGTCTTTAATCGTCAAGCTTCCAGCTGATTTTAATGAGCACCTTCGGCCACCTTCATGAATTCCGGGTCCCGACTTCTGGGGCGAACGATAGTTATAGCGCGAGAACAAAACGACGACACAGAGACAAAAAGGACACGAATCTCTGTGTCGTCTGTGTTCTCGCGCTATAACTATCGTCATTCCGTACCAACTAGCCCAAGCTGCCACACTTCTGGGTCGGGTATGTATGTATGTATGTATGTATGTATGTATGTATGTATGTATGTATGTATGTATGTATGTATGTATGTATGTATGTATGTATGTATGTATGTATGTATGTATGTATGTATGTATGTATGTATGTATGTGTGTGTATGTGTGTATGTGTGTGTGTATGTATGTATGTATGTATGTATGTATGTATGTATGTATGTATGTGTGTATGTATGTATGTATGTATGTATGTGTGTGTATGTATGTATGTATGTATGTATGTATGTATGTATGTATGTATGTATGTATGTATGTATGTATGTATGTATGTATGTGTTTATGGATGTATGGATGTATGCGTGTGTGTGTGTGTGTGTGTGTGTGTGTGTGTGTGTGTGTGTGTGTGTGTGTGTGTGTGTGTGTGTGTGTGTGTGTGTGTGTGTGTTTAAAATGCGTTGTTGAATGCAGCAAAGTACAAACATGACGGCGAGGTGGGATGCGAGCCAGTGGCCTGGAAAATGAGGTAAGCGTTAACAAAGATGGAAACAGAAGTCTATCAGCAATTCAAGTCCATCTCCATATCAGGAGTAGGGTAGCAGGGCACGTCAGGCTTTCGTTCCAACCGGTGAAGTAACGGGAAATCTTGGGCAGACATTTTTTCTCTGCGAACTCAGACACGGCACTGGTTGAAAAAACGGCACGCTTTTCAAATGAAAATTAGCATGGGTGTGAGTGAGTGCTCATGCATGATAATACACGCGTGTATTACCGCTTAGGTGGCTTCGCTTATACCGTGTTGGGCTGCGAAGCATGAGGGTTGGATTTCAATTTCTTATACCCCTTTGAGCATTCCTCCTCGAAGTCTGAAGAACATCTCAAGCTTATCAACAGTGCCCGCAAGATGGCAAAGCCCACAGAGTCCCTGAACTGAGGGCTCCACCTTCACCGCGAGAACCACATTTATAGCACCATGCATTGAACAAAGATACAGTGAACGTTACAGAGCCAAGTCAAAGTCAAAAGCCCCCTGGTCGAACATTTCGGCAATAACTCCGCACAATATCGTCACCATACATTGCGACTGCTGCAGTGTCAGAGCTAAGGTGAGTGCACGGATAGTGGCAGCTTGAAGAACAGATAAACAATTCGTGTTTTATTGAACGCTGTACGTCTGCCACTGCATGTGCGGCGCAGGCAGCGGTAGGATAACTGCAAACAACCTTATCTGTACGCGCTACCAGGTGCAGCGCTGAATTAGGCCGTGGATCTAGGGAGGTTGTAGCCCCGTCCACAAGTCCTTAGAAAAAAGTAAGAACGCCACTTTATCTCAGGTGTGCTTCGGGCGACTGGTTGCGAAAACTTACGTAGTGAACTCAGCCGCAGATGGTTGCAACCGAAAGCCTGAAGGTTAACCAGAATGAAATACAACCACCAAGAAAACTCGAAATGTGAAGACCTTGACTTACTGTTCTTTAACATTTTTTTTCCTGCGTAGTATCTTGCAGTATGTCACGTCAACTCTCTGTAACAGTAGTACAGGTCCACAGAAAACGCTTACGCCCGTCTGAAGAGCTTAGCTTAAAAGTGATCTGGCTGGCTACTTCGTGGTTGTGACGGAGCAAACAGTTAATACAAGATGTAATTTGAACAAGGAGAGAAAAAATCAATTAGGCTTCGCAATATTTAATTTAATCGTGCACTCTTTCTCAATGTGCGCGTATATGTAGGTACTTCCCCTTCTTATTCTTCTGCCGCTAGAGTTATATTGTTCCCTGTGTAATGTTCCCTCTGCGGGGAGATGGGGCAGTGCGTCATAATATAGACAAAAAAAAGAGAGGGGGTGTATGCTTATGTCGAGCCTGTATCTAAAATCTGTGAGCATTCTGACTATCGCACACACGCTGAATGGAAATAACGAGTACCGACGAGGCACAAGTGGATTCGCTCTGCTTACGGCACGTAGTGAAGTGTATACGCTTCACTACGTGCTGAATCATAAATGAATCCTAACTTTAGAGATTTGCACAATAAGTGGCTGGAGAGTTTTTTGCTCATAATAATTGATTACTTGTAAAACGATGCGTAGAACTGTGGCTGAATATCATGATAAAGAAATGGCATTTCTATGTGCCGCAGAGTTGAAAGTTACCAAATGTAAGAGCAGGCAAGTTCATTGCCCACTGTAATGTTGCTGTGACCCAGTCCATTTGTGCGAAAAATTCTTGTTGAGTTGGTTGCTTCAGTGAAATGGTTCGGGCTAGAAGTTTCACGAGAAATGTAAATATGAACTTTATGAAAATTGTCACGGTGGGTGCTTACAGTGAACTAGCACAAATTCGAATTTTCTACCATGGAATAACGCCACTAGTAAGGAGCATTACTTTTTTTTTCCGCAACGGTAACAATCAAGCAATAACTTTTTTTAGAAGAAACGTGGGATGATAACGCATTCGTTTTTTGTTGGTATAACGAGTAACCTATTTAGCAACATTTTTTTTTTAGATAACGCCTGCAGCCCTGTATAATAATGACGTCATCTTTTTTTTTTTTTTTTTCAATCCCCATCGAACCCAACCCGAGACTACTTTATCGGTATCGCTCTCTTCCCTATCATAAGTGAGCCGCATAGAGTTATTCGGTGCTATGATCGGTCTCGAACGCAAACGATAGTTCACCGTGTGGCAGCAGTGTGGGAGTTGAAGGACGCATTCGTTTGTGTCACACACACACACACACACACACACACACACACACACATGTGGGTTTAACTGCGAGAGAAACGCGGGCAACATATGTGGAGAACACAGCACAAAGTCCGGCTGGGTACTCAACTATACCTACCATTTTGTATAAACTGAATGTAAACACTAGTTTTCCCTTTCGTATTCACTCGAGATAAAAAAAAACTAATGTTTACATTCGTTCGGTTTATGCGAATAGGCATTGTATGCGTCAAAGTGCAGAGAAATGTATGAACAGTGGCTCTTCAGAAACGAAGAAAAAATATATTAACAGCACACACACACACACACACACACACACACACACACACGCACGCACACACACACGCACGCACGCACGCACACACATGTGCGTGGGGGTGTGTGACACACACACTGTGCTAGAAGCCAGCCGTACTTCATATGAAAAATAATTTCGAATGTTTACTTGTTAAGCTCATTTCCAGGTCAGGTTAATTTTTTTTATTCATATTGTTCTAGCCTACAATGCCTATAATTGGGGGGGGGGGGGGGGGGTTTACCAAGAAAGGTTTTGAACTGCTTTCAGAAAAAGAGTCCGCGATTACCGAATCAAATACACAATATTTACCCATATCTGAAGCGACATCAAACTCGAAGTTCGAAAACAAAAGAAATCTGTCTTGTTTGCATTGACAGATGCTCGTAATATCGTGCAGAAGACAGGATAACTGAGAACCCTGGCTATAAATAAGAAAATGCTTTGAATTATCTTGGGCATTCTAACCACGTGAATACCATAACACGAACACAATAACGTGTCTTGCAGGTTTGCTTACGGGCTGCGGCACTCCCTGCGGTCAGTGCCTGATGGCCCGGGAACTTTCCTGAAGTGTTCTAGCCTCTCCAGTTCGTGTTTTTGTAATCTCTCTTAAAATTTCGCGCTCCGTTTTGTCATTGTGGCCAGATGAAACCTTGATGAACACAAAATGTAAAGCACCTTAATGCCAAATACTTCAAAAAATCGCTTCGCTGACAACTCTTTATAAGCCAAATTATAAGTTTCGAATTGTTTTTTGTTTGTATAAATTTTTTTATTCTTTTCGGTCAAAAAGTGAAACTAGCGACTTGCTCTTATCAGCTGCTAAAAGCGAGGAGGGTCACGTGACTAGCGAGCGTCTTCTCATCTCGGCGTGTTAGGTGTTTTGATTGTTTTGATCAGCTGCTCAGATACATCGTTTGTTTCTTCTTGCGTTTAGAATGCGACGAAAGTTTGTACTTCACCTTTCACTTGCTTCAGCGTGCCCTTCGTAGCTCCGCAACCTTCCACGGTATTCCAAGAGGTACATTTTCTTAAGTTGCAGTTATTCGCACTTTTCCCCTTTTTATCACATTGTCTCCGGCAGACGACAGTCACTGCCGGCATTCTTACCACACATTGTTTAGCTTTGTCAGCATGCGACCGCCCTACCATCCAATGATGGTTCGCTAATGACTGTAGGTTTCGTTTACTTCTGCGGGCACCACCCAAGGAAGCAAATTTCTTCCAAGTTGCTTCTGTCCTTGGCTGAAGGCCGCGGGCACTACGGCAAACATGCCGAGGCTATTAGCCTACACAGATTTCCTCGAAATCGTTGGCGAACTACGTCTCTGCGGAACGAAATGACTTTAATCTGAAAGCCTGCGTTACTGATTAGCCAGGAACACCGTATCCGACAGGTAACGCCATCCATGATCAGTGTCCGTCTCCAGTGCTCGATATTTTTATCACGTGTGATCTGTGATATATCTTAACGTAATTTTGAAAAGCTTTTCCAGTTATTGGTTGAAACCGAGAGCGAGGCTGCGGCCATGTTCAGACGATCAGATCTCGTTATTGTCAGAATGTAGTGTAAAACAGACACTGGCGCACAGAAAGCTCCTCCAGTCAAATTAATTTTGTCTATTTCATTCGTTGACCTTAAACGATGTCCTTATGAAATATAAACATCCGGCATAGCACGTGTTTTGTATTCTATCTAATGGTTTGTTGTTATTCTTAATGGTAGATGTGTAACTACTCTCTTCGACTGTTAATTGCAGAAAGATGCCTTGTACTTCGTCACACGTGCAGTTTGCATGTACATTCGGTGCCCTCATTGCTCGCCCATGTATTGAGTTATATTGTAACTCTCAGTCGAACAATCTCTCGCCTTTCTGCGAACTGTAAACAGTTGAAAACTTATTTGCTTGATGCTTCTAGTGTCAGAAATTGACGAATACAATCCCCATTGTTAAAGCTCCGGGCTGTGCTTGTTCGTGTCAATCACTTCTGTGAACCGTGTGTCAAGTACTGAGCCACCGTGTTGCTCCACGTCTTTTATATATATCTCCCCTATCTCCTACTTCTTTTTTTTTTAACTAACTCCTTCACTATGCTTTCAACCAGCTACCACAAGCCCTGCTTGTCCCTTTTTGGTTCACTTTGATTTATGTACTTCTTGCACAGCACTCTAGCACTGTGGTAGCATAATATTGATCACCGAATGCCACTCCCGTTAAGGCCACAGAGCCAGCGATGCATAATAAAAATGTTGAGAAAGAGCTCATTTTCACAACCCACATAGTGGTCAAAATACATCACTGATAAAGTATACAAAGTAGTGCACAAATAAAACAACTTGCAGCTTTGTCACTGAGCATAAAAACTTCATAAACAAGCTCTGTAAAGAAATATTATGCCAACATGTTTTTTTATTGTTTTCACATCACTGAATCTCAGCCCCTGTATGTGGATAGAAACATGTCAAGCATGTATGTGTAATAGCCTTTTCTTGTTATCTTAGGAACTCATTATAATGTACAACAGGTTGCAGTGTACCTTATATACATATTCAAAATAGGTGCTTAAAGAAAGTGAGGATCTGGTTAGATCAGAGATGACTTTAGAAGACATTGCTTCATAGAAGGATAACTTCAAAAGTACCATCACAATAGCAGTCTGCTGCATCTATAAGCTGCTGTTACCTTAGAAAAACAATCTACTTGTTTTAAAGTGTTTAATAAATCATTGGTTACAAGAGAAATGGTGATGGAAATGTCCATATTATCTTTGACCCCCCCCCCCCCCCCTCTAGTTTTCTAGCACACACCTAAATCCGAGTACAGGCCCTACCGACTTCTGTTTAGATGTGATCAACTTGCAACCTTTATCAGCATTTCATGCACTGTTCATAATGTGGTTGATAATTCACAGTTACTTCAATATAGTCACTACCTTGGGTACCAGCATTGTCAAAAAGCTGCAGAAGCAAAAACTCTGACAATACAGCAGGCATTTTTTTCTCTGAGTGATAAAACGATAGCAGTGATAACTCATAACGAAATAGTCACTGTGTAAAAACAGAACAATGTACACGTTATGTTACATTGCAATGACATCATAGTGACCATCATATTTTGGTATGTTCACGATGAGAAGAAAAGTTTATAACATTGCGTCAACCCTACCTGAATGTGCGCTGAGTCGTTTCTTGATTTTAAGCAATCATAATATGCCTTATATGGGTTAAAATGACTTGGGCCAGTACTCTTAGATAAAGAATGATAGGAACGGAGGTTGTTATGTTTTACCAGTTAACAAAATTTTATAACATGCTCATAACCATAAGCACAAGTGTTTGCATGTAATGATTATGGTCCACTTCTTTTTGCACTTGGTGATGGTCCATGTCGTTGAGCGCAGGCAGTTAATGCATTGGACAAGAAATGGATAACCACGAGAATCAATGACGAAGAAGCAATGCTGCACACATGCTGTTCTTTCTTTTCATGATAAAGCATATCGACCATCAACATACCTAATATGGCCATTTCAGAGAAAGAAAGAAAGTGGCGTCAACCTTAGGTTTACACGGCATGCTTACATCCACAGAACCTATTATGAATGTGTTTGGAAATGTGATCATTCTACAACTGTAGGATATTGTCCTAAACATATGTTTGTCTTTTTATGCACTTGACTAAAAATGCTTTTAGCTGAACAACCTGGAGCAGAATCTTTGTCACTCTTTTGTTTTTTATAGTATTGCCACCTTTCTTATCATTAGCCACCTTTCTTATCAGAAAATATGTACTGTTTTAATTCTTTATATTTCTCTCCCACATTAGTTGCAGAAAAAATGCATAACCACTGCAACAAAGGATCTGATTTATCGCAGTGTTAGATATTTGTATGCAACCAACCAAAACCTCAGTTCATAAGTTAATCTTGTCTATCTCTGATTCCAGTCTTATGCCTTACTGAAGAAATGCGAGCTGCCTGCAATATAGCTCGTGTAGTTGGACTGCACGTATCCACATGCAGGCAAGTGCTCAGGTTCCTTATCCCCCTCTTGTGTGCATTATATATATATATATATATATATATATATATATATATATATTGTTGCGGGTGAAACATTAGTTAAAGAAGTTTTCATCATGCAGTTATCATTTCTTTTAAGCTTAAATGTAAAAAGGTCCTACTACCTGTATATAGCTTCAACAAGATTTAGTACTCATTGTTCGGTATTGATTGATGGGGCTCAGCTGAAACATAAACTGATGAAAATGTTTTCCTTTCCCAGGTACCTCTGTCATGTACACCTGAAAAGTGGTGTGGGTGCGTCTGGAGTGCAACAACTGCGTAAACTTTCAACAGCTCGTTTTCTCGCTAATCGGCCGACAGAGGAAATAGCCATCCCAGTGCCGTATGGACAACTGGCTGCGAAAGTTTGGCCAGCCCAGAGAACAGTCAAGCCCAAGAAGCACCTTCTCTGCCTGCACGGGATTCAAGACAATGCGGGTACCTTCGACCCGTTGCTTGAAAAGCTGGATGGTGAGTGGCAGGCTGTGGCGTTAGATTTCACCGGCCACGGTCTGTCATCGCACCTGCCGAGGGGATGCGTCTACACCATGACGCACTTGATGTTGGATGTCGGTCGTGCTGTTCACTTTCTTGGCTGGAAACAGTTCAACTTGCTGGGCCACAGTATAGGAGGCCTTGTCGGACACAGATATGCCAGCATATTTCCTGAAAAGGTTAGTGTCATGAAAACACGATAGCTCTTTGCTATCCTTCATATAACCTAATTTTAGTATAATAGAAGGCAGCACACTATCCCTAATAAACAGCTCATTTTCATAATACTTTTCATGGGCTTTTGCGATGAAAACTTCCCTGACAAGCATGTATGTACTCTTTGTTTTGCTTTCGACTTGATTCCAAAAGTGCCTCGTCATAAAAATCAGCTCGAGAATGGCCAGCTATGTAGTGCAAGTTGTTAACACCATCACTGAATGACCCTGTAAATTTATAGAGTTTTGCTGTAGCTTCTCATTTAGGAATATTTAGCTATTTGTGCAATACTGTCTACAGAGTCCCTGAATGGGAACGGTGCTCACACGTGTCTTAGCGTCATGACTTTTTAGTTGGTGTACAGGCGTTTGAGCACTTGCATTAATGAGAACAATACGTATGCAAAGATTTTTTAGTTTCTTCGCTGAGTTGCAATATTCTGCTTCCATGTGCTGCATTAATCAGTGACCCATAATAATATGTAAAATATGGCTTGTTTATCTTCATCTACAGAATGCGAGGAAGATGTGTTTTTACAGATTAAAACATGCACACACTTTACACAATAAGAAGAGGGGGAGAAGGGCACCACCTCTCATAGTGTGTGCATAAAAAAATCGTAGGAAAATTTCTTAAAGCTGGCTTATGTACCCCACAGTTTTATGGAATTTAACCGAGTCAAACACACAAAAGCATTACCACTAAATCAGGTCACCTGCTTATTGACAATGGCAAAGTGAAGTTTACGTGCACAGTAAAAAAAAATTTATAGTAATATTTACTATGAATTATAGTGATATATATATTGTCATGACCAAGAAAGACGCTGGCGCTTCGGCGCGCGGGTAGCTAGAGCAAAGAAGAGAAGAACGAAGTCAGAATAAGAACAGCTGGCCCAGGATCAGGTCTTGTCTCTTGTTCTCTGTCTCGCTCATTACAATGGCGCAGTCGACGAAGAAAAAGTCTTACGTCCCGGCTTTGTCATCTAGGACAGCCGTGATAAGGACCACTTGAGGATGGCGTTAAGGCCTCCTCGGCAGCTGTTCACCTGCTGCCACTGCCACCACCGTTTAGGGACGGCGTCCAGGCCACTTCGGCAGCTGCAGTACACAAGGGACGCTGTCCACACGTCCTTGAATATGGATTCTGCCGTCAGCGCAAGCCGACAAGTGAACCCTCTGCGAGAAACCACCGGTACGTGTCCTCGTGTTTCGTCGGCAATGCGGGCTTCTCCACCTAGGAACGCCGTTCACGCTTCTTTGGCGATGGAGTCAACAACCCGGCCGCCGCTTCAGCTGCCCATCGGACCTTCAGTGGACGGTGTCCATGCCTCCTCTGTAGTATTAGGGCATCACCAAATGGACACTATGCTACCACTTCGCGGCCGTAATACGCACAGGCTCCTGTCCTTTGGGAATGCTGTTCAAGCTTCCCACGGCCTGCATTGCCTGTCCGGTACTCTTCCAACACATAAGCCGCCAAGAAACGTTATTCATGCTTCCTTGGACGTGCGTGTAACCACCGTGAGTACTACTAGAACCACGTACTTCACGTACGCGAACGAAAGCGGTTCAGAAGCCTCGTGCGACAGTGCCGTGGAGCTGCGGCATACCATCGCACTGCTCCGCGCCGAGACTAACAAACTGACAGCGTTGATCGCCGAGCGAGCTCCTACAATGTAGCCAGCATTGTGTGACATTAACGCAGTGTTGGATATAGCTGCCTCGTACCACCTTGAGGCAAGCACACCAGAGCAACGCAGGGATCTTCGGTCTTCTCTGATCGAGCTCTCACACCAGCTAGATTGCTTCGCGTCGGTGATCTCTGCGTTGCCACCGGCCACCTCACAATCACCAGCCGTCTGCGAACTACCGGAATTGCTCGGGGGCCGGAACGACGCCGACAGCTGGGTGGCAACCGTCAACGCGATAGCAATGCGTGAGACCTGGACGGAATCTCAGAAATGGATCGTGGCTGTAGACCGTCTTCGGGAAGGTGCAGCGGCGTGGCACCGGTATGAAGGCTTCAAGCAGCAGTCCTGGGTGGAGTGGAGTTCCAAGCTCATAGCTGCCTTCGGCCAGACGCTCTCCGATCTCCCTTCCACCACCCAGTCCAACCTGACCGGTACCGAGGATGGAGTTCAAGAAGGGTTCCATCTCGAGGCTCCAGTTGAGCACTCCAGTTCTCCACATGAGCTTCCAGACTCGTTGCTGGTACCGGACCCAAATTCGTGTCAGTCATCGGCCACCCCGTCCTCTTTCGTGGGGGGAGATACAGAGGGGCACAGGGTAGCTGGACCCTCTGGACCCTCTGTAACAAGAATAGACAGAGATGGCGGCGCAGAGGCTCCTGCGTCAAATCATGATGCCCGGGCATCGCAGCCTGTCCAGAACGCCGACGGCAATGAAGACCAGTGCCCCAAACTGTACCAATGGAATTGCCTGCTAAGCGTGCTGCGAGTGCCACGAGATAGCCATGGTCACCGACCAGAGTGTTCGACAGACGCAGCCAATATGATGACAGGTTCACAGAATGTCCTGCCGCAGATTGGAAGACCGGCCGTGAATTATGTTTTCTGCCACACATCACAGAAGTTGCGTACCCACTCTCGACACCAGTCAAGGCACCTAGCGCGTCATTTGGGATACGCTTTTGGCAACCCTCGTCTGGCATTTTACGTCAGCCGCTGATTTTGCGGCCCGTCTGAAGCGCGCTGTCAGATGCATGTTTGGCTGCTTCCCTCAGAGAGCCTCTGCATGGCCGAGACCGACCAAAACGATGCAGCCAGTCTCGACCTCCCGATAGACTTGTGGCAGACTCCGGCACCCAGATCCAGCGTGGCCGAGGCCGACCTCCGAGATGCAGCCAGTATCGACCACCAGATCTACTTCTGGCAGATACCCGGACCAAATCGCAGCATGGCCGAGAGCGTCGGCCGCAACGGGGCAGCCAGTGCTGGCCGCCTGAGTCCACAGCACTTTTTCAAGAGACATCGCGGTGTGCAAAAAAGCGACCAGCTCGAAGCAGCCAGTGCCGTTCACCAGAGACGCTTCCCCCAGACCGTCGCTCCATGTTGCATTGTGGTCCGGGCTGACCACCACGATGCAGCCAAGCCCGCCCACCCAAAACTTTGCCGCCAGCTCCGCGCGCGCGCAGTCATGGCCGAGTGTCATGACCAAGAAAGACGCTGGCGCTTCGGCGCGTGGGTAGCTAGAGGAAAGAAGAGAAGAACGAAGTCAGAATAAGAACAGCTGGCCCAGGATCGGGTGTTGTCTCTTGTTCTCTGTCTCGCTCATTACAATATATATAATACTATAACTGGTAATATTGTAATATGTTTGTTTTTAAGTAATCAATCATCTGTTATGTTTCTATTGAAGACCTCCATTTTCTTAGATTCATTTTTTGTATGGATATGTCTGAGCATGTAACTCCAACTTTGGTATTTGCTACTCCCACAATGATTTTTTCAATTTTTTCAGGTGTCAAAATTAATTCTTGTGGATGGTTTTGGAGAAATCTATGAAGCTAAAAGCCAACTCCTCAGCACGATGAGAACTACACTGCTGTCTTTCCTGCGTCTCGAACAGAAGGACTTCAGCGAGCAACCAACTTATACTGAAGAGGAGGTCATGGCTCTCTACGCAAAGATGCCTTGGGGATGCATTCGTGCTGAGGACGTGAAGATACTGATGAAACGGGGTTGTAAGCTCCAGGATGACGGCCGTTACGTGTTTACCAGGGATTTTCGTTTGAAGTCATTTTACTGGGACAAGGTTGACAGAGCTGCCCTCGAACCATGGTGGAAGTCCTATAAGAATGACATTCTAGTTCTGGATGCTGTACCTGGTTTTGGCAGCTGTTCAGTCCACAACGGCAGAATGATAAACTTGTTGAAGGAACATTGCCGCACTTTTCAGATGGCAATCCTGGATGGTGATCACCACATTCACATGAATCAGCCAGAGTTGATAGCCAGCTACATAAAACCCTTTTTACAAGATCTGCGAGGCAGCAGAAATCAGATGTGGTTTGTGTGATGAACTCTGTCGTGGTTTACAGCAGCTTTATTGAAATGTATCGTGAGATGTAGGTTTCGTGGGAAAGGTAAAGGAAAGTGATTGGATTCAGGGTGGTATTACACACGCAAAAAAAAAAAAAGAAAACGAAAGAATCAGGTGTGACACTTGTTCAGATGAGCAGGTGGCTCAGAATGTGCATCTTACATGAATCATAGATGATGAATGATATCTCAATAATTAAGTGCCTGGGCTTCGTTTATGCACAGTATATTCTATATGCAGGTATATTCTATATGCAGGTGCAGCCAGTAAGGAAATGTGCGCGTAGCAGAGAGGATTCAGTGGCTTGTTGTCATAAAACTCTTCATGCTTATTTATTAGATAGTAGCAGTGCATACCGTGTGCATGTTTTGTTAAGTATTCTTTGTAGCGGTCCTAGGTTAAATAAAGAGCACCATCGAATACCTTAAGACAGACGGTTGTCGTCCGCCATTTATTAGTGTTCTCTTTAACTTCTTTCTCCTCTGCATTCCATTTCTCTTCATCTTCATTTTCCCTTTTCAGACGGCTTCAACCTCCTCGGCTTCTTTTGTTTACACCTCCGGGTGTAGTACTTAAACACATTACCAATGGAAGCGCACTCAGTTTATTCTGATGATCCTAGGTATCAAACTGTCTTGAGAACACCGTTCTGAGATACCGTTTTAACTATGGATAATGGTCTCTAAAACTGATCATTGGCCGTGCGAATTTCTTTGCGGATTAGAACAAAGTCTACTTGTATATCCGCAATGTCACTGTTGCGTCTCTTGTCGAAGTTCTTCTTCATGCACTGTCTATAGAAGCCACTTTGGCTCTCGCCTTTCTTGGCTTCTTTGAGGACGAGCTTTTCAAGTAGGCCAAGCTCGCGGTCAGCGGCGAAGGTAGGGACCACTCCAGAGACAGCAAACAGAGGACTACATCCTAGGCCGCTGGTGTATGAGCAGTTGTGATGTCTGATGGCAGCCTCGAGGCAGCACTTCCAGCAACCTTGAAACCTAGGGTACATTTTTAGGTATTGCTTGATATCTCCAATGGCACGTTCAACCAAGCCATTTGCCGCAAGATGGTATGGCGAACAAAATTTCAAAGTCCTGCCACGATCTTTTGTCCACCTAGCCAGCTTTGAACTTTCAAAAGTGTGGCAGTTGTCACAAACTATGGCCCCGGTGCACCTGAAACATTCTGATTGAAGGAAAGCAATAATGCTGTTGGCATCTTCCCTTCCCACTTGTCACTACAATTCGGGTGCATTTGTCTATGCCAAGCAGTTTTCTCGGTACCCTCGTCCTTTTTTCCAATTCAGCGAAATCTAAGTGAATCACTTCAAAAGGGACGCTGGAATATTTTGGGTTATCATCACATCTGTTGCCTACTTAAACTTCACTTTGTTCACTTGGCGTAGATGGCATGTCCGAATGCATTCTTTTGCGTCCTCCTTCATACTTGGCTAAGTAAATCCTTTCAGGAGCTTGTTGTAGGTGCGACCAAAGCTGTCATGTCCCCCCGACTTTGGACTATCATGATACAGACGAAGTATGTTTGAAACCATTGTCGATGGTACGTGATATTTCCCGTCAAGAAAATTCATCTCCTCGGTTCCTTCCCATAACTTGGCGCAATTTATTTCTTCAGGTTGCTCACTCGTCTTGTAAACAAGTAGTCTGGACAATGCATTTGCATCTGTCAGCAGCGGACCAGGGCGATGTCATATCTCAAAGTCAAATTGTTGTAGATAGTTCGCCTATCGAGCGATTCGTCCCTTTGGTTGTGGTATGTTTATGAGATGTGTCAAAACTTGGTGATCAGTAAACAAAGTGAACTTCGCACCCTCCAGGTAGGTATGAAAATACTGGACAGCTTTTAAAACAGCGAACGCTTCTTTCTCAGTGGTGGTATAATTAACTTCAGCGGGCTTCAAAGTATAGCTGTAGAAACGGACTATGGGGTGCTTTTGATGATCAGGTAGTTGTGACGGCTTCTGATAAAGAACTGCACCCGTTGCATAATGTGATGCATAATTGAGCACAAAAGGCATGGAGAAGTCCGGTATATGAAGAATCGAATCTGATGATATCAGTTTCACTTGTTCGTTGTAAGCTTTTTCACAATCCGGGCTCCATTGAAAAGCGACGTTCTTTTGCATCAAACGTGTGAGGTACCTGGTCTTTACAGCATAATCTTTTATGAAAGACCTGAAATACCCAGCTAGGCCAAGAAATACCTGCAGAGAGTGGATATCGTATGGCTTCTCCAACTTTGAAATTCTTTCAACTGAATCTTGCTTTGTGCTTTTTATAGTCCTGTCAAAGACTTTGCCGAGGAATATAACTTTGTCTTAAAAAAAAGAGCTTTTCTTGAAATTCACTTTGAGATAATCTAGGCTAAGAGCATTCAGGACTTGTGAAAGATGACTTTGATGCTCTTTTTCTGTCTTCGAAAAAATCAGTACATCATCTATGTATACATTGCAAAATATTCCGATAGGGCTTCAGTATATCATTCATTATCTTTTGGAACCAGGCCGAATAATTCTTCAATCCAAATGGCAGGCGGTTATATTCGTGCAAGTCAAATGATGTGACAAAGGCGGTGTATTTCTTTGTGTCCTCAGTCAAAGGAATTTGCCAGAAACCCTTGCTTAAGTCAATGCAAGAAAACCAGCGACGTCCACCTGTTCCGTCAATAATTGTATCTATCCTGGGCATGGGCAATGGTATAAGTTCTGTTTGTTGGTTGAGTGCCCTATAATCTGTACAAAGACGCAATGTTCCATCCTCTTTTGGAGCGGTAGTGATAGTTGAGGCAAAGGGCGAGACAGAGAGTCGAATGATATTTGCATCCAACATTGTCTGCAGCTCTTCCTTCAGCCATGTCTTCTTTTCTCTTGACATGTTATACGGAGCTCTTCTTACCACGGTCTTATCAGCGATTTCAAATAGCACTTGATGGGCCTTCATTTCCGGGAGTGGGGGTAGCTTCCAATGTAGACGAGCTCAGGGTACATGGCTTTGATGTCTTGTTCGCAATGAACAATTCTTAATGGACGAGGTGTTGAATCTTTCGTCGTCCTGGGGGACTCATCTTCAATAAGCACTTTGTCATCCCAGTAAAGGTTAATCTTGAGATTCTTCATGTCAGGGTGAGACAGCAGAAAGTTATATGCTACATTCGGCATTGGCAACACAGTGCTGGTGACAGAATGACCTTGAAATTCAGTGACTACAGATGCCCACTTGTTATGTGAGCTCACCAAGCCATCATATCCTTGTACTCGAATGACTTTACCAGCATGCAAATGATTGATGTCGAGTCGCTCCCTGTTAATGATGCACACAGAAGCTCCACTATCCACCAATACATTCATTTCGACACCATCAATTTTCACTGGTATATGGAGCAGGCTGGACGATATTAAATACACCATCTCCCGGTTGCTATTCCTTTGATTGAGATCTCTCAGTTCAGGCAGCAAGGAGTGAAGAGCTAGATTTTGCGCAGAGCTGTAAGAAGTTTCAACACTGTCCTCGTCGTTACGCACACATTGGCATGAAATGTCTATGCAGCTTCGTGCATGCTGACTCGTAGGTAAGTGGGTGTTAATGTTGCATCCGCCATGTCTGTTCAAGAGAGATTTTCTTCCCATGAAGGCCTTCCACATTCCTTTTCTGCCCTCGGCAACAAACTCTTGAGGCATTGTAGAAGCTCGTCCATAGTCCTTGGAGCTATCAACGCAACTTCTCTTCGAATCTCTCTAGATAACCCCTGCATCACTAGGTCTAAAACAGTCTGCAAGGAAAGGTTATGCTCCGCTACGTGTAGCGGATAGCGTTTCTCCAGGTAATATTCTAGGGCAGATCCAGATTTGTACTGGTAAGTTAGCGCAGCATCCCATCTTTGCGTAGCACTAACTTCAAATGCAGCAAAAAAAAACTCTCTTTCCATTGCTCTGAACAAAATGGTGCCTTGTCAAAAATCTGCAAATCGTACCACTTTTCAACGGTGACATCAAAATAATGGTGCAAATTTCGAATTTTATGATCATCTGATAGCCACTTATTCTTTCGCAATCCATATTCATGAAGACACATTCATTGCTGAGGACTCTGGGCGCTTTCTTCAAAAATATCCGGCTCCACCAGTTTTTGCATTGTTGGAGCTCTGTTCAGCGCATCAACGAGAGTTTTTATTAGCTCACTAGTCTGTGTCATCTGTTGTTGCTGCTCTTCAATAATGTTTATTAAAAAGCTCACCGTCTCTTCAGCAGTCTTTTGCGAGAGCCGTGAACATCGCATAGGTTGAAAGACAAGCTCATCTAGTGCCTGTAGACTCAGGTCCACCTTCACGGATTCCATCTGAAGGAGCTCCTCGTAGCTAACGACAGGCTCCTTCATCATTTTGTCAGTCAATACTGCAGAACTCGCATGACGAGGAAGGTCCGTTTTTGGCTCACCTTGAACTTCGAAACCCGTGAAGACAACATGCTGCGATGAGGTCTGGTCAATGAAGAACTTAATCCACATGTCCGCCTTCGGCTGCGCCAGAATTGTGTAATGGTCGTAGGTTGAATAAACAGCACCATTGAATAACTTAAGACAGACGGGTGTCGTCTGCCATTTATGACTGTTCGCTCTAACTCCTTCCTTCTCTGCATTCCATTTCTCTTCTTCTTCAGTTTCCCTTTTCAGACTGCTTCATTCTTTAATGCCCAATTCCTGATGCTGCCATCTTCTCAAGTGCTGCTATGTGTTACTGTGCAGTGTGCAAAATCTGGTCATTCCTACCTTGGCAGAAAGTGTTTACACTTCTTACGGCAAAATTAATGGCTTATGGCAGAGTTAATCAGCCTTCGTTCACTTTATCATTTCACATTACTCATGATGTGCCAAGATGTCGCTTTTACTAGCATGCAATAATGTACACTATTGTTGCAGTTATGCTTTTCTTACATTTTGCAACATCAGACACTTATGATTGCACATATGCTATAGAAGTATACTAAAGAGTGACAGCAAATTATTTTAAAGCTCCTTGATAGTCTTCGAATACCCCATTCATTACGTCTTCCAAAAATGGGGTGGGGAAGCAATGCTTTTCTCTAGAATGGTGCCCTGTAACCACTCCACTAAGGATGGTTATGCCAGTGTGTATATTATAACTTACTTGTGCCGCAGAAGTCCTCCTAAGTTGCCATGTTGAGCCTCTGTGCACTTTTTAATGCGAGCATTGTGCATTTACGCGCAGTTGTGTGGCTCCACTATAATTTTCTGCTAAAGTGCATGGCATCTCGGGCATAGAGTATCTCAAAATTAACTAGAGGGCACTCTGGCGCTGTGATCATTCAGCGACCATGGAAATGATTGGTAGTACACACATTTTCCTAGTATTCGTACTTGCGGGCGGCGAATCGTACTTGCGGCTTCGTTTATTGCTGTGT